TTCTTTGGGTTGAGGTCGGGAGTGGGCAGTCCCAACTATTAGGCCAAAGAGATCTCCTCATCCGATGGTGGCAGAGGAAGCGAATAACCAACCTGTAAACCATGGTCGGTGACTGACCGTATGAATATTCACGTCTATTGATACCAAAAATTTTTTTGTATATTCATCCCACTAAGCAGGAGGGATCATTTTCTCATTACCTCTTTACTTCTCCAACGTCCCATTCTCCTTCAACCCAGCAACCTCACCCGCATTAACCCTATCCGCCCTTTCCGTACACTCCTCAATCACCCTCCAGAACATGGGGATATCCAGCCCGCGCGGGATCCTCACGCCCTCGCTCCCCGGCGGCAGGGCTTTCGCGACGGTTCGCCCCAGCTGCGACTTGCCCGCCTTGGCTTCTCCGAGGTCGCCCTCCGTAACGACGGTGAGCTCGAAGCGCTCGTGGTACTTTACGCAGTTGCCCTTTTTGGCGTCGTAGTCGTAAAAGGGGATCTCGTGCCGCGTGCCTGTGAGCACGGCGGCTACGGCGAGAGGGTCGTGGAGGGGTGGACCGGCTGTGATGCCGAAGACGTCGCTTTTGCCATCTGTGTTAGTACGTCTCGAGACGTTTATGACGGGACAGTGGGAGGGGGAGAGTGTAAGTGAAGTGTGTGTGTGTGTATACACATACCTATACGTCTTGGCGAAGAACATGAGCAGCTCAACCAGCATCTGCCTCAGCGTCGTCTTCCCCTTACCCGTCTTCTCACCGCCGTGCGTGCCATACAGAAGCGCGTCCCGCACCTCCTCGGTAGCAAGAACCTGATGCGACAGATCCAACGGCACAAGCGTCGTCTTGGCCGCGAGCGCCTTGTTATGGAAGACAGCGGCGGCGGCCTCGGGGTCGATAATGATATTAAACTCAGCCCACGGCGTCCAGTTACCTACACGAGGTACGCCGTCCACGACACCGAGTACAATGTCGGTGAAGCCGTCGCCGATGGCGCCGCCCATAATGCTCAGGCCCTTGAGGTGCGCCACCAGATCCGGGTACTTGGCGAACAGCTCAGCGACGTTGGTGAGGGAGCCCGTGGCGACAAGCCAGGCTGTTCCGGCGGGCTGGGCGGAGAGGGCGGCGGCCATGGCGTCGATGGCGGGTACGGAGCGGTTTGCGTCTTTGGAGGGTTGGGGAAGGAGGTCGGTGCCGTCTAGGCCGGATTCGCCGTGGATGTCGGTGGCGGCTTGCATGGGCGGGCGGGACATTGGCTTTGCGGCGCCGACGTGGACGGGGATGTCATTGTGTTTGCCGATTGCTGTGAGGATTGAGGTGGCGTTATTTGTGGTTTTCCTGAGATTTTGGTTAGTATTGGGATTGAGTGATCACGAGATGTGTAAGAGATGCGGGATGCGGTTTGATGTACACTCACTCGAGGGGGGCGTTTCCGAAGACGGTTGAGAGGCCTAGCAGCTTTATTGTTGGGTGGTAGGCTGCTAGGAGGATGGCAAAGGTGTCCTGTGAGGCTGATGAGTACTGGCTTGAAGGGATTCGGTGATAGTTTGCTGGAGTATGTGCAATTCTTCACCCATTTCTGAGTGAAACGGAACATCACATGGGGGGCAGGATGAGTGACACATCACGAAGTTTAGGACAACAACTCACATCATGGCCGGGATCACAATCCAGCCAGACCGGCACCGGTGTTTCGGGCAAATCGAGGTCAACCATGGTAGCTCAGGCAAATAGTTGTTGAGGATCTGAGATATGTGCGTGTGGTTTGTGGCTTATCACGACAAGACAGTGAAAATCGCACAAAAAATGATGAAAATGATACTCTGTACGGATACGTGAGTTTTTGGTGTTCCCTCGGCAAGATGAGCAGACCACGGACGTTGTCGCCGGTGCCGTGGGGTTGCGCTTTTACTTTACAAGCCCGTGTCTGGTGCCCACTCTCGGTGGATAAGACCAAACCAAACGAGCACGGGGTGGTGGAATGGAGTAGAACACTGCGTAGTGTAAGGTAAGGAAGGCACTCTGGGGCTCCAAGGATGGGGGCGGGGGAGCCGGCCGGCCTACAGCGGGTTTGCGGACTGCGGAATTATTGGTGACGATTTGACAGGCACAGAGAGGAAAACAGGAGGTCAATTTTAGGTAATGACTTCAAGGTTGAACCTTTCCACACAACGTTTGGCCAGTCCCGTCAAGACTATGATGTCTGCTCTGTTTCGGCTTCCTCGTCTAGGTAATCTCAGTGGCCAGGAGTGAAGCTTTGCGGTTCCATAGTCCTTGGATGAATCTTGCGCAAAATAAAGTCCACTGGGCTTTTCTTACCTCACAAGCTCACTTCATAGGACGAAATTACTCTTGGGGCGGGGAGGCAAGCACCGTGGGCGGAGTCGGGCGGTCTCTGATAAGTGAGGCGGTGCCCTCCGAGCGCCGCTGCAACGACTGCTCCTCCATCCAATCCGGCCTGCGCCCGTTTCGGAAGGTCCAGCAGATACACACAACATCCACACCCTACAAACAACTTCCCGTGCTTGCCGGGTAGCTGGTATTCTAGGAAGCTAGAACCTAGCTCAGTCACCATCGATCTTGACTGTCTCGATGTCAGGCTGTCTTTCTTGAGCTCAGGCGCCTTGAGGATACTTCGCAGTGAGGCCCCTGCCATCCATATCATGGCATTGCACCGGCCGTCTTCTGGTAGTAAAGGTCTGAAACCTTGGTGTAAGTAATGAAATCTACTCTCATGCTAAATGGTAAGGCTTGACAATTCATGTGGTAGACGCGCTCTAGTCCAGGCGCGTAAAGGGTATCATTTCGATTTTTGTAAAAGCGACGGCTGTATACGCTTGCGTAGGATGCATCAGGAAACAAACCGGCAGACTGCAAGCAACAGCTCCAGGACAAGCCGTTCAAAGAAAACCATTGTTGACTTATTTGCCCGCAGCCTTTCGCTGCTCCATTACTCTCAGCACATCAGCCGCATTGTTGGCATCACCCTTCCTCTTCTTAGGGCCTCTCTTCCTCTTGCTCTTGCCGCCTTGACCGTCATCATCATCTCCCTCGTTGCCCCATTCCGAGAGCTTGACCGGCGCATCGTCAAAGTCTGCCTCGTCTTCGAACCTGCTGGTGCCGAAGCCCATGTCCATATCTTCGGCATCTCGGTCGACGCTCTGCAGCATCCTCTTGTGACGCTCCCGACGAGCCTTGGTTTCCTCGTCGTCGTCCTCTGCTTCTCCCTCCGGATCTTTGTTCGCCGCCTTGAGCTGGGCAGCCCTCTTAAAAGCAGCCTGTATCGCCGGGTCAGACATGGAAGGTCCTTGTAGAGTCTGCGAAGATATAAGATCTGTCTTGGAGTCCTTGAAGTAGTTGCGCGCTTGTGCTGGCCGTGGCGGTGGCGGCATCGCGATTTTGTCGGCACTGCTCTCGGTCTTGGTCTCCTTTTCGTCCTTGACCTCGCCCTCGCTGTCCTCGTCAGAACTGTCGTCCATTCCAGCTAGCGGGTCATAATCATCTCCTGCGTCGGCAAAGATGTCATCGTTGTCGTCTTCTTCAGCTTCTTGCTGTTGCTTTTGATAAAAATCGGGCACCTCCATACCCAACGGCTTCGCATCCTTGTCCGGGATAAATTCCTTGCGCATCTCCTCCTCGGCCCCTGGCTGCAACTTGCGAACCTTCCTCTTCTCGTGGCCATCTTCGTCAATAATAATCAAGACTTCGCGTCCTTTGCTGTCCCGTTCGATGCGGCTTCCGGCCTGTTGCTTGGCACCGATCTTCTTGAACTTGCTGTTCAGGGCGGCCTCTTGCTGAGCCTTGGCAGCCTCTCTCGCAGCCTTCATCTCCACCAGGATCTGGTCGCGGGTTCTCTTCTTTCCGGGCGCGAGAGCCACAGGCGCAAGTTGGCCCTTCTTCTTCACCTTTTCCTTTTCGACAGCCTGCACCTCTGTTGACTCTAGTTCATCAAATGCATCGTCTACTTCCTCTTCCGGGGGTGCTTCCTCTTCCTCGGCGCCGTCTTTTTTGTCTCCATAAACATCTTCGCCCTTTCGTATTCTTTCCAGAAGCTTAAAGTCTAGTCCCTTGATCAGATGCGTGCTCGAAAGGTCTCCTCCTGCAATTTGACTGCTGAGCTTCTCAAACGTCGCTTGGTCAATCTCCTCGTTTTTCAGGGCTTCTTCTAGAGCCTTTATCCTTTTGGCGCGGTCATCTTCCTCGTCATCGGTTCGGTCTCGTGCTCGGTCGACATAGCCCTCTGCAAGTCTAGATCCCTTCGGGGCTGATGTGCGAAATTTCTTCTGGGGTTGCCCTGCCTGGTTCCTCTCGGCAAGTTGTCGCGCAAACTCATTCCGGCTATGACCACCTCCAACGGAGCGTCTAGTACACATGATCAGCCGATGGACCATGAACGGTGTGAAGGGGGCAACATACGGAGTCATAGGAATGCTAGATCGCTGTCGGGATCCCAATGCGCTGCCGCCTGGGGTTGCGCCGCCTGTGGTTGAAGCATTTCTCGGCGACGCAGCCTTCCCGGTGTCAGCACCCAAAAGCTTTCGAAACTGCTGGTTATTCATGATCGTTCTTTCTCGCAAAATTGGTGACAGAGAGGTCAGCGGCCGCAACCTGGGCTAGTTTGTTTGGCGTCGTCGGCCGAAGCTGTCAGTGCTCTCTAAGCAATTGCAGAACTTTGATTAGTCATGCAGAACTTTGGACGTGCAGATTGCTGAGCGCGACGGACCCACCCACTTAACGCGCTTGCAGGCATTCACCTCGGCCGGGGCTCCATCACTTCACCAACTGTCACCACGCCCGTCTATTAATTGTCCCTTTATCGAGAGCAACGAATGAACGCCTGGTTCACAGCTTACAAATATGGTGGATTTCAGCCAGCCGGCTTTTTGGACGGGTTGATCTGCAAGGAAACTTTCAAGACGCCAGTCACAAGACCGCCGCCACCGCTACCAGCACTCGCACAGCACTCATACAGCCGTGAGTCTGCGCATTATCCGAGACAACCGACAGAATGGGCAGTCGCCTCGAGAAGAACTCCTCACAGGTGAGGAAGAGGATTGAGAACCATGAGTTCACCGATGAGACTGGCGAAGAGTATGAGCAAAGCGCTTTCGGCGGCTTTGGTGACTACTTTCGTCGGAAAAAGATCAAGCTTCAAAACTTGGACGCCGACATGCGCGCCGCTTCAAGCGACAAGCCTCAAATATTCAAAGGGGTCGTTGCGCACGTTATGGGCTACACGCAACCGCCCCTTCATATGTGAGTCACTGATACCTGCCACATGTAGAATGTCGCTAATCGACGCTCCAGCTTACACCGCGAGCTTGTTCAACATGGTGCAGGCTTCTTGCAGTACCTGGATTCAAAGACCATGGCAACACACATAATAGCGTCCTCTGTTCCGCCTAAGAAGTCCGTGGATTACAGCAGGTATAGATTGGTCAAACCAGCCTGGGTGACGGACTCAATCCAGGCTGGGAGACTCCTTCCTTGGTCGGATTATCGAATAAACAACCAAGATGGGCCGCGGCAGAAGATCTTCAAGATTGACGAATCTAATAAGCTCAGCCAATCGACACCACAAGTGAAAAGAGGTTACAAGGACCAGACTGATGTTAGCTTCTACACGAGCCAGTTCAAGGGGTCTACTGCAAGTCCCGCGACGCCCTCCTTAAGTCGTTTCGCTGAACGGTCTGAGTCCCCGCTCGCTCAACACCATGGCCAAAACTCGTACAGCCCAGCTCTATCTCAGGCTATGAAGAAGCCACCACTGAAGCCGAAGGATAATGTCGAAGAGTTCGATGACATGGAGATCGACGAGCTTATGGTCGGCATAGTTCCAGAGGAGGAAAAGGCAGTTAAAGCGGAAAAGGTCGAATCAAAAACTGCATCATCGACAGTTGACGAAGACACCATTGGGAGAACCGATGAAGCCAAGCAGGAACAGAAAATGTCAGAGAATATGACGTCCGAGGAACACAACGCTATACTTCTCTCAGATCCCAAGATCTGGAAATCATCAACAGCGAACCCAGAGTTCTTAAAGCAGTTCTACTCGGAAAGTCGTCTTCACCATCTTTCGACCTGGAAAGCCGAACTGAAGTCGAAAATGCAGAATCTCGCCAAGGAAAAAGGGCCATCTCTCAAGTCGGTGCGGAGGAGGCCAGGGTCACGGCGGTACGTTATCCACGTCGATTTTGACAGCTTCTTTTGTGCCGTTTCCCTCAAGAAGAACCCACAATACGTCGACAAACCTACTGTAGTTGCTCACAGCAGCGGCACCGCCTCGGAGATTGCAAGTTGTAACTACGTTGCGCGCAAATTTGGAGTCAAGAATGGAATGTGGATGAAGCGAGCACTTGAGCTGTGTCCCGATATCAAAGTCTTGCCGTACGATTTTCCTGCGTATGAAGAAGCCAGTCGACTGTTCTACGAGTCTATCCTCGATATTGGAGGGGTTGTCCAGAGTGTCAGCATCGATGAGGCCCTCGTCGACATCACGTCAATAATTCTTTCCTCCGCCGGATCCGATGGCGCTGGGGTTGACGAAGGCAGTGTTTGGAGAGAACAGGAAAAGGCCGAGGAGATTGCTCTGGCCCTGCGTAACAAAATCAAAGACGCGACTGGCTGCGCCGTGTCAGTTGGAATTGGGGCCAATATTTTGTTGGCCAAGGTCGCGTTACGAAGAGCGAAACCCGCCGGGCAATTCCAAATTAAGCCGGAGCAGGTGTTAGAGGTCATCGGTGAACTTGAGGTGAAAGACCTGCCTGGGGTCGCCTACAGCCTCAGTGGAAAGCTCGAGGAGATTGGTGTCAAATTCGTCAAAGATATCCGGCAAGTATCCAAGGAGCGGCTTTCTTCTTCGCTTGGGCCAAAGACGGGAGAGAAGCTTTGGGAGTATGCCCGCGGCATTGACAAAACCGAAGTGGGTGAACAGACACCCCGAAAGTCCGTCTCCGCTGAGGTCAACTGGGGCATTCGCTTCATCAACCAGCAGGAAGCCGAGGAGTTCATCCTCAACCTGTGTAAAGAATTGGAGAGGCGACTGCTCAGCGAAGAGGTCAAGGGCAAGCAGTTTACTATGAAGATTATGCGCCGAGCCCAAGACGCACCCCGAGATCCACCGAAGCATTTGGGACATGGGAAGTGCGATTCGTTCAGCAAGAGCGTTTTGTTTGGAATTGCAACTCACAACGCCGAAACCATTTCCAAGGAAGCTGTCTCAATTCTTCGATCATACAAGTTTACCCCGGGTGACCTTCGAGGTCTTGGTGTCCAGTTGACAAAACTGGAGCCTCTCAAATCTAGCACCACTGGGCTAGAGAGCAGCCAACGACGGTTGGCGTTCCCCAATTTTGGTGGCCAACCGTCGACAAAGAAGGCACAGGTAGATCCGATCGAGGATTCAAAGAGTCCTCAGAAGACAAGGGATGCACAAACTCGGGGCGATGTGTCTCTGGATCCCATCGCAGATGACCCGTTAACCCCAAGAAAGCCCAAAGTGCATCCTGCTTTGTCTTTAGCACGGGCCGGCGAAAGGGATAAAAAGGCCCACACTCCTCTCAACATCATGGGCACTCAATTCATCCTCCCCTCTCAAGTTGACCCCGCGGTGTTAGCTGAGTTGCCAGGCGATATTCGGGCTAAGCTTCTGAGAGGCTCAAGGCCAAAGCCGGAGCCTAGACAGACATCTCCCCAAGTGAAGTCGCGGAGTAATAGTCCGGCGGTTCAGGATGAGATGATCCCATCCCAGGTCGATCCAGAGGTCTTCAACGCTTTGCCGGATGACATGAAAGCTGAGGTCTTGGCGCAGTATGGACGCAAACCGGTGCAACAAACCCGTTTGCCGCAATCACCACGCAAGGACCGGCTGATTCAGGGAAAGAAGCCAATAACGCCGACAAAGCGAGGCAAGAACTTGTTCAACGCCAGGGAGAGGCAGCAGGATGCATCTGCCAATCGCCAGCAGACGAACTTCTTGGCGAACAAAGGCCCTGCGAATGTCGCCCAGGAAGAAGACCCAGAAGAGCTAGATCAAGCATTCCTGGCAGAGCTCCCAGAGGACGTCCGGAAGGAGATCATTGAGGACCACCGGAAGAAGCGGCTGGCAAAACGATCTGGTCTTCTCTTCAACGCTCCCCGAAGGCAACAAAATGGCGAGTCGAGCGACGCCGCGCCCGCCGGACAGACCAAGCTGCATTTCCCTGCGCCGCCGCCCAAGATGAGCTTTATGGGTTCCGCCGTGAAGTCGATCCAGGAGATCAAGGACATGCTCGAAGCCTGGCACGACGGGACGCGGTACGATGGGCCGCATCAAGATGATGTCAAGGTCTTTGAGAAGTATCTCGCCAGGGTCGTCTCGGAGGAGCGAGACATGCACAAGGCTTCGAAGCTGGTGCGGTGGCTCGACTGGCTGGTGGAGGACGACGGCAGCGAGGGACGGGGCAAACAGGGGTGGAGGAAGACGGTCGCGGATATCAAAGCGGCCGTCCAGATGGCTGTTGAGCAGAGAGGCTTGGGCCCTGTGAGATTGTAATGCTATTGTACATGTGACGAAATTTATGATAGGATACCATGAGTTGGGTTTGCGGTTCGGCGTTAGTCTACCTTATGCAGCGTTTCCGAAGCGGGAACTGAAAAAAAAAAAAAAAAAAAAAAGCATCGTGATGTCTGACTTGGGGCCTCACATGTGAGATGTACGTTGAGATGTACGCTGCAAGAGTGAGACAAAGTCATCAATTCAGAGATTCTGTAGGCCTGAGAAACACTCAAAACAGGGGGGTATCCTCCAAAAACAATAAAACGCTGCTGTCGTGTAACCATTCCTCCGTCCTCCGAAGAGACTCTCTCCCATCACCACCAAGACACCTCATCACCAGGTCATCACATTTTACAGCAACACGTACGTCGCCAAGCCGCCCACGACAACCGCTGCCCACGACGCGGCTGCTGGCGACGATCGCAAGCCGGCGCTGACCATGTACACGCTCAATTTGAGCGCACCGCCACAGACCATGCCCTGATTTCCGTCGCAGGGCAAATTGCACTGGCTGTCGTCGAGCTTGACCGCGAGGCCCGAGATTCTCTGGGCGCACCAGCATTCGCTACACGTTTAGATCGTCAGTCCTTTTCTCGTCTTGCACAAAAAGGATGAAAGACCACCCAGCGGTGTAAAACGAGGGAGAGGAAAAGAAGGGGGGTGGATGAAGGGGAACGCACCGAGAATACTCGACACCGGCGTAGTTGTACTGCTTATCGGCGCCGGTGCTGCAGAAGCTGAGGCACAGGGGCACCGTCATGTTGCCCTCCATGACCTTGGATGCGCCGCCCGAGAGGGCGCGCTCGTGGGCCGTGTTGGGGAGGTCGTTTGTCTCGTTGTAGCAGCCTTGGTACTTGTACTTGTCGGAGCCCGTGTAGATTGAGAGCTGTGCCGCCGTGAGGGGCGCGAGGACGGCGAGGACGGCGAGGAGGAGGAGACGGGAGAGGAGGGTGTTGCGGGCCATTGTTGTCGTCTTTGACGGGGTTTTCGAAAAGGTTGTGAATGGATGGAATTGCGGTCGGGCGACTGTCCTTCTCTTGCTATCTATCTATTGAGCCTTTCTTGGTGAAGCTGTAGGAAGCTTCGGCAGTGGCGGGATCGTCGAGTGTCGTTTCCTTGCGCGTGGGTGATAGTTCGTTATCGAAGCTTATCTAGAACCAAACAATGGCACACCGGGCGTCATAAATCGTAAGGGGAAATTGGGATGCGTGTAAGGCGTATGCTCATACTCAGGTCGTCTCTTCGTTGGTCCTGCTTCAAGACGTCCTAACACAAACCCCCGAAATGAGTGAACGAGCGAAGCAAAAGAGCGTGGAGGCAAGATTAAGCAGAAGGAAAAAAGATCAGCAGGCTAAATCACTTTTATTCCGCCCGGGCGGCGCGAAACCCCTTCAAGGAGATTTGCACACCATCACTGCGCCGCGATGAGGCTGGAAGCCATTGGTGGTTTGGGTTTAGTGCCCAGACGCTACCGCACCTTTCGATAGACATCACAAACGGGAAATCTCACATTCAGGTCCCTCAGGAACGGTCCAATGGGTTTTAGCGTCCGGGAGCCCGCTAGAGGTCTCGCGTGGTTCTGGACCAGTGGACTCAAAGACGCATTATTTCAGGGGAGGTCCCTTGTTCGCACTTCGGGAGAATAGTGACTTGTCCCCACTGCAGCTGAAGTTTGGGGCGTGTTCTAGACCGGATTAAGATGGGCGAGAACTATCTCTTTGGGTGGGAAGTTGAGTGTGGTGTGGTCCGTGGGCGAGCCCGGCGCCAGGGTTTGAGGATGTGAGGGTGAAGATTTCAGGTGTTTCCACTACGAAGAGTGTGAAGCTTACATTTCTTTGGTGAGGCTTTGGCGTCTCTTGTCATACAGTCACTTGATCAGCTCAAATTGCATACCATTAAATTGTAAATTATTATCGTCATGATTATGAATGTTTCGTTTCGCAACACGTCTCGTTCTCATGGTTTGAACCAAGAGACGGATTACCACCGGCTCATGATTTATTTTAATTAGACCGAGGGGCGTACTGGGCGGGCGATGTTTTCCAACGACAGCATATTAGCTGCCAATCTGCATTTCACTCTCTTTCCGGTCTCTTCCTCCCATAGACGCGGATACGGACGGCCCTTCAGCAGCTGTCGTTGGCTTCCGATTCCACAACGGCAATCACTTTCTGCAGTCTTTCAGAATGACCGAGTGTCAGGCTTCGACAGACGTCCTCTGCTAAGTGAGTAGATCACCTCCGATGATCCTTATCCTCTGCTTTTTTGAAGGAACAATAGACAGCTGAGCTGCCTTGGATTTGGCCTTCGCGTTCCGTGCTGGTGTGTTATGAGAGTTCTTGAACCCACAACATCGGGCCGGCTGTGTCGCAGCATTATTTGCTGTCTGATAGGAACTCATCCGGTTCGGCGACGCCAGTCTTGGAGAGTTCTGTGTGTATATCTTCGTCTAGTAAAGGCTCAAATATGTTCGCGCGTTGCTTCGTCTTTAATCATTCGTCATCGTCACTTCGACTCCTCAAAGTCGTAATCATAATGCATCACTTTATCCAGCGTTAGCACAGGTACACGCATTATCCTCAACTCAGGAATTCCAGGAAGCAACTTACAAAGCACTAATCTCCAAGTCGCCGAATATCCTCGCTTTGAGAGTAACCTCAATGTCAAGATTCAACCCCAAATGTAACGCAAACCCCCTGCTCTCGGACCCGGCATGCTTGTGCTGCCCTTGCCGGACGGGTCTCGTCTTCCGGGATCTTCGCCGTCCCCGACCGAGACTTTGACTAATCTGTCTCAAGGGAAACTCCCGTTCGGATTCGGTTTCCGAAGTAGACATGTCCGTTGCCGGCCCCGCCAACACGGCGGCAGGCGGCGGGGCGGGAAGCTCGAAGTCTATCATCGGTTTGTCATCGTCTGGAATTCGTGCCGATTCCTTATTGTTGCTGTCCTCGTCGTCTCCGCCCATGTCGATGAATGATGTTTGCTCGACTGGTAACGAGTTGTCGAAGGGCATCGGGCACCATATGAATCTGTCGTCGGCGAAGGGCTCTACGGAGCCGTACATTTCTTTTGGGAGCCATACTGTAAGACTATCGCGTTTCGACATCTCATCTGTTGTTCTAATCGCTCTCTTTTCGGTCCTTTCTATAGCGAGTGTAGTATAAGTGAGTGAAGTCGAAGTAGATTAGAAAGTAGCGAGAGTAAAGCAAGCGAGGGACAGTCAAGAATTTGACAACATATACAGGACAACATATACAGGAATGTTTCTTTCCAACTCAGGAGCCGGGAAGGGGAAGGCGTCATATTAGTACCGTCCACGAGAGACTCCAACTCTTTCATCATTTCCCCCAATATCAACCACCAACAGCAACCAGCCAGCATCTCACAAAATCTTGGCACACAACACCGAGCAGGATTCGAAGGGCCCGGCCGCCCTCTCACAACGGGAGCCAGCCCGGCCAGGTATCACTGCACCGCTCAATGAAATCATGTGTGGGCCCGGGTGGTATTCGCTTCCCAGGGTGTCAGGAATGCCGCGGGTGCGCCCCCCAGAGCTCTGGCCAAGAATCGACCGAGATCTGCAAGAGGCCGATCGCTAGAAGGTGTGGAACCCGCCCCCAACGGTGCAAGAAAACCCGGATTTTTGGCATCTATTTCGAAGGGGTCCTCTGCTTGCCTGGCACCACAAGCAAATAAGCACGCTGCTGATGACATACTAACACCACGTCGTTGTCACTTCGACCCGTTTTATTTTCCATCTGCTTGGGTGCCACTACCACTACCGACAACGGAGTAAACCATAGAGCCCCGAGTGCTAATCTTGGAAACGGCTCAGGGTCCTTACTGTTTTCGCTCAGATCGGAGGCTGAACTACATTGACTACCTACGTTGCTGATCAACGTTACGCCCCGCCCGATGTGAACCCTTCTGCTGGGTTGATCAGAGCCTTTTCGTCTTCCTGGTCGTGGAAGCCAGCCTCTGTGGAGTATAGAGGCAAAGCCTATTTTTGATACCTTACTTTTCCGTACACTATATAGGGTCAGCTGTCGCGACGAGATCTACTTTATGGTCGGTCCCTGCAGCCTAGTCCCTTCAGCCTAGAGAGGAAACTCACTACGCCTTTGCGAACCTGACCAGCTACATGTAGTCGGGTCATCTCATACAGCTCATCCGGATGACCAGCTCAAAGACGAAAGGAGGAGAACCGTCAGCAAGATTCTCTTCTTCTCATACTCAAGCAGCGGCTTCATGGATACCATGGATGGTTATGAGAAGTTCTCCCACGCGAATTTCAAGGAACATTATAAAGTTCCCAGAAGCGATTAAGAAGGGATAATATCTATCATCATTGCCTCTTCCTTGCATTACCAAAAGTTCGCATATCCGTACAAAGAACCTCTTTGCAGGTTCATCAAACCATCCTCTCAGAGTTATAAAAAAAAAAGTCCCGTCAAGAAACTCGAAGCCTCTTGAACTTACACACAATTCCGGCAGTGAAAGGCACGGACCAGAAATGGACTGCTTATACCAGATCGCATCTCTTCTTCATGTTGCCACAAGTTCACACATTCGTACACGGAACCCTTTGAAGAAAGTTCCAAAAAGTGACCTTGTAGTGTCAAAGCAAGGCCAGGCACCCAAAACCCGTTCCCAGTAGGAAGCCATCGTGAACGCGCGCTACTCTTCCCCTGTTAATACTCCTTACTCTCATTGTCGCGATTCATCACTCACCACCCTGCCGTTAAAGCCAGCCCCGATTGCCCTTGATCCCAAATCTACCACCCATTCTCCTAAACCAGCCCGCGCTCCGCTCGTGTTCGTCAACAAATCTCACGAGTTAAACACCGAGAAGCGCAAAACATCCAAGTCGAGATTGTCTGACAAGAGAAGTAAGTTGTTTCGAATGGTGCCCTTTTAATAGGCGACCATCCAGTGTTGCCAATTCAACGTCGATTCTCCCGACCAGGACCATCTATGATGAACGCAATGTCGTAGTATCGTCCATTTTCCTTCTATTTATACCAAGTATAAGATGCAGGTGCCCCAAGGCCTTTGTCTATCGCTTGCCGAATATATATCATCCCCCGTGGCTCACTCCCTCTCAGAATGACGTTTACAAACAAGGGGCCCTTGGCAATCTCAATAAGATTACGACCGTCCATATATATGTACCTCGCTCCCCATTGACCTTGTCGAGGCGTCCTCAGAGGTGTAAACTTCTGCATGATGAGATAGGCATCGTGGCAGGCTAGGGGTTAGGATGTGACACAGGAGCCTTCCTTAGCGGACAAGTATCTAAATGAGCGTTTTCAAAGTGGATGGACAGATAGAAGACCATCATAGAAGAGACCTGATAAAACTTTGGAGATTTGAGTCCGTAGTATAATTCATTGTGTGCGTAAAGAAATTGGTATCATAGATCGACGCACCAACCTCACATCGATCTCAAGCGAGTGAGTAGCTACAACATTCCTATCTTTCTTAGTAGCAGAGGCAACAAGACAATATCATGCCATGAGAACCATAGTCATACCACTTTTCCTTCCCGTGTCTCAATCGTCGCTGCAATGGCTACAATTCCACGGCCTTCACTCTATATTTTCGAACGTGCTCATCCATACCCCAACTCCGGTGCTATATTTCCAATCATGAAGTTTCAAACGTGCAAAAAGCCTTGAAGCAATTGTCGCCGCATCACGATGCCTCTCCCACGGGCCAATTTTCAATGGTATCCTCACATCACAACACACTTCTTATCCTTCTCTGATTTGCCATGAGTGGCATTCCTACTAGACGTGGAAACTTCCGTCCATGCAGTAGAGCTGGCGACCTCGTGATCAACCTGCTTCTTCTTTTTCTTCTTCTTTTGGGAACCATTCCAACCGCGCCGTTTGGCGTCCTTGATGTTCTTAGCTGCACTCCGCTCGGCACGACTGGGTCTTCTGTTGACCGAAGAATGCGACTGCCGGCCCGCAGACGACGTCGACGGCGCTTGTAACCATGCTGGCATGAGACTTCTGCTGCCAGAAGCTTCGGGCCGGTTTGTGGAGTTTGTGCTGTATATCGTTTCAAGGCGTTCCACCGTTGGTCGTACCGGGCCCGATTGGGTCGGGCGTGGATGACGCGGGATCGGGGCCAGTAAAGGCATCTCGGTTCTGCGGTTCGATTGCTGACGAGTAGGCGCATCAAATGCGCCAGTGACGCCGCTAGGTGTGCTGATGATCAAGGGTTGATCTTCGAACTGTGATTCGGCAACTTGATTCTGGTCCTGAGCTTGTCCCTGGGCTTGAGAAGCGGGCTGCGAGACAGGCTGTGGCACAGACGCTCGGCGAGATCCAGGCCGACGGCTTCCCACTGGTACACGCTGGACTGAGCTGAAGTTTCCAGAAAACCGTCTAGATGGAGGCAGCTGTTCATGGCTCCGCAGACTGGCCAACTGATCTGCCATGGGGAATAGTGGCAGTGAAGACCCGGCAATGTCGTCGACTCTTGCGTCAGTCGCAGGAGCGGAGTAGGGGTGGCTGTTCAAAGGACCGCCATCTGGACGAAGATAAGATCCATCGCCCGGCTGCGCAGATCTAGGCCAAGTTGACGCATTGGAAAGACGTCTGACTAACGGCAAGTCGGTAGTAGATGCTGATTGTGGCTGTCGCAGCTCTGCAGTATTTGCAGAGGAAGCCGACGGAATCTCCAAACCCAGCGAGGGAGGCGCCTGAGCCTGCTGAACGATCGGGGATACGACTGATTGCTCGGGAGAAACTGCCTCGGAATCTTGGTGTGTCCCGGAACTTGATGGTCGAACCCCCGAAACTTGGCTGACCATCCGCTGGTCTTCAGGAGAGATGGCATGAGTTTCGCTCTGTCTTCTCGCCCCCATGCGTGGGGAATCTGGTGGCGAGACGTCGTAGATATCGTCGTCAAGATCAACATGGGCCGAAGGGCTGTGCGTTGGACGAACTGCCGAATCTGCAGTGCGCGGCCGGCTCATGAGCGTCGAGTCACTGGCTATACGCAGATGGTGGCTGGCATTAGCCGGGGGGCTGTTGACCGTCTCTTGGTAGCTTAGAGGGCGGCCTGATGATTGAGACAGAGCTGGTCGCGTCGGAAGCGCCCATGCTGATGCGCCAATGGCAGGCGCGGCTGTTTGGGTCCTCGCCGGCTGACTCTGTATCTGCACGCCACCAGGCGTGATGACGGCGTTCCGTAGGAAAGAGGGCAAGTCACCGGGGTCGTCCTTCTGATAGGGAGGCGGCGGTGGAACCCAGTTGTCGGCATCGCTCTCGTGCGGATGCTCACGTCGGCCGTCAGCCCGCCGATACTCTACCGGTCCAGCGGCTGGCGGTTGCGGGTGGCGGCTTCGGTTCATAGCAGCAGCAGTGGCAGCGCGACGAAGCGTGTTGGTGGAGCGGGGCCCGTCATGCGAGTAAGGGGCTTCGACTGCCTCTTCTGCCTCTTCTTCTCCAATCATCGAGGCGGTCTCGCCTGCCCCAGGCGCTGAAGGTGAGGTTGGCTCTTGGACATTGATACGCGGGGCTGCTCCAATTCGTCTTGGAACAAGAGGGTCGTCTTCGCCATTGTCGTTTTCGGCCTGCCGTTCTTCTCGGGGCTGCGGCATGGGTGGCATGGGTGGCATGGACGGCATAGATGGCAAAGGGTTGCTCCGGGCTGCAGCACTCGTAGCTGCACGCATCAAGGCACCGCGATCTCCCCGTTTCTGAGCCACAGTCCTGCGACGTACAATAGCCACTTCGGTATCGATATCTCTTTGCTCCTCTTCGAGCACCTCAGGCTCCTTGGTGCCCACTTCAATCTCAATCTCCGTTCTAACACCGTCTTCGATGCTGTAGTCGAAGTCCAAGAGGGTAACTCTGCCGCCGTCAATGAAGTCGATGTCTTCCTCCTCAATGATGGATTTTCCGGGAGAGATGCCCCGGGCTGCGATGACGAGGCGCTCCTGTGCCGACGTCTGACCAAAGCCCGCAACCCACTTCACCGTGCTGACACCGTCGAGTTCGGCAATCTTTGCACCCCAGATGAAAGTGTTCCGGAGCTTATCACACAACATTTGCCATTGAGGGATCCTTGGATTCTCTTGCGCTCGGGACGATGACGAACGCGAAGGGGGTCCACTGTTTCTTCTTGCTTGTCCAGCTAAGGCTGACAGTCCATCAGCCCCTGAGGAGTTGAACTCAGGTACGGCGTCGAGGTCTTCAGGGACACCATAGAGCCAGACATCTTTTCCTTGGAACCCAGCACTGACAAGATCACCGTGGAAAGTCGCTGCAGGAAGAGTGCAAGGCGTGAGCTTAGCCTGTGATCCTGGATCGGGTTTCGGGCCCGTGAAATAGGTTGTTCCGTTTCTCAGATCTTCTATGCGTACAGCCCTGAATGTCTCAAAACTACGATCGTAAGTGAACGTCCAGCTCGCCTCTTCTTGGGCAGAGTCCTGCAACAGCACAGCATGACTGCAGTCACGACTGGTATTAGGAAACAGAATAGACGTAGTCCAAAGCGCGCTAATGCTATCGTCGGCCATTTGGTTACCCGGGTCATAATACGGAGCTGTGAGGATAACTGTGGTAGGTGGCGATGAGTGAATCGTTGTTCCAAGAATTTGAGTGCCGTCGAACGAGAAGGACAAGGAATCGACTCCGTCACATTTGACAGCGCGTCTATCTGTAGGTAACGCGCCAGGGTTGACCAGAGATACTTCGATACCTCCTTCGTACGCAGCAGCCAGGACAGAACCGCAGGGCGAGAGGGCAATAGTGCGCGGAGCGTGATCCAAGATCAGAGACTGGGTGCGGCGCGGGGGTGACTGCTCTAAATCGTAGAGGTCGACCTGCATTTCAGAAGATAACACGGCTAGCATCGAGCCGTCGTCCTTGATGCAGGTCGACACGGGGCGGCGCAAGATCTTGAATTCCCTCTTGACGTCGATATCCTTCCCCCGAACATCGAGAACGTAGATTCGAGATGAGTTGTAGGCTAGGATATGGTGACCGCGTGGCGACGGACTGAATTGCATTCCCTCGCCACCGGGGCATGACGAAGAGCTGATGGAATTGGATATCAACTTTATAACGGTTTCGCGGGGTCGCAGGTACGCTTCGAAAAGGTTGCGTTTGACCTCTCTGGCGAATAGTCGCCTTAGACGCGGAAGATCTTCATCTTTGACATCGGTATCGCGAAGCTGGGGATGGCTCGAGGAATAGGATTCGCATTTGAAGAGGTGGAGGGCATAGAGCTGGGCCTGCTGGGCGACTGATCGCCATTTCGAGTTGAGGAGGATGAGAGACGCAAAGGAGTCGGGGTCGGTGAGTTGCAATATCCTATGGCCAATGTCAGTAAACCTGTGATAGGAGAGAGATTGAGAGAGATGGCAGGGACACAGCCATACTGTTGGATAATCTCGTCCGGGAGGCGATCAAAAGCGGGATCCGGAGCCAGGATGGGGGGTTTGTCAATGGACGACCGTGATCCCACTTCCCCATGTCCGCCAGCGTCAGTGATGGTGTCCATGATAGACCAAGGGCAGCCCGATTGCTTGGTTGCTTGCGGCGAAGTTGGTATCGCTGCGAGGCTAAGAGAGCGAAGGGCGGGAGGAAGTTGACATGATGAATCGTCTGGAGTTTTGGAAAAGGGCCGTTGTTGAGACGAAGGAGGAAGGCAGCGCAGTGCAGTGCAGGAGAAGCAGTAGTAGGTAGCCGCAGAAGCAGAAGCAAAGCGTTAGAGGCAAACGCAGAGACAACAAGTGCAGGAAGCACAACAGTGTGAGCTGAGTGTGGGATCACAGACTTTGTCTCTATTGGGCCCTTTGGTCTCTAGGCTGGGACTTGGGAATTGGGGACTGAGGGACTTGGACATGCGGCTGCGCGGGCGAACGCAAGCAACATGTGGCGGAGCGACGCTACTGGACCACCTGAAGCTAGCCCAATATCTTTGTATCAGTGGGTGGATGGTGTGAGTGGTGAGTTGCGTGAGGGCGTCCTCCAAAACAACCAGGTGCATTTCTGTCTGCCTGCTCATTCTGCCCCCCATCCCCCCTGCTCCTAACGTACTTTACCCACTGATTTGGCGCTAATCATCGGCGTTGGCACCTTATCGGAAGGTACCCGACCAACCCGAGCTGACCTTGCCTAGATCTTCCGTTCCATGGGGTCCTTGGAGTTTCTTTCCGCAGGCAAACACATTTCAAACAGACCAGGGACCCCCTTTCTATCAACAAGGCGTGACGACCTGCACATTCCGAGTCCTTTCTGTTAGGAGTTGGGACTAGGGAGTGCTCAAAAGAACTTTGGATGCTCATGGTCAAAGGTCGTGAAAGTGAAAGATCTATTTCTTGAGGTGTTCTGCGACACGCTTCGAGGTTCACAAAACCACCGATAACACTACATGAAAGGCAACCAACATGCATCCCATTGCAACCACAGCTGCACCCCCTTAGCCGCTGGCTCTGCCATTGACATTTGGGCAAATGGAGCCTGTCTTGCCATTCCAAGGTGGAGATAGAGGCCTTGCTTCAGAGACACAAGGCTTCGCTAGGTCAGTTGGAAGCTGACAACATGAGGCTGAGTCTTGAAACAATGTAACAGCAGCAGACTCTCTACCACTTCGTTGGGCTTACTCTTTCTGAGCTTATGTTGGCTTCTCCTTGCCTCATCAGCATTTGGCTATCGTGACTCTTTGGTGTCTACTTCAGACACAACATCAAACCAGTGGCGGCTGGCTATCCTCTAAGAACCAACAGAGAATGGCAGACTCGTTCTCTAATTGGTGCAGCTTTGACGCTGCTGGGGAAGATATTGAAACAGGGATGCGGAACCTAAGCGGCAACCTGCGAATCGCGATATGCAGGGAGAGAGCCTACTATCAACTGTGTCAAGTTGAGCCCCCAAAGGCGTTAATCAAATGTCTTTTGGCAGCCATTAGTCTCATATCGACATAACTCTACAAGTGTGAAAGATGGGCCTTCCACATCTCAGCTAGAAAGGTGGAATGCCCCGCCTACCTTAGCCCAACCGCCCGACATAACTCTCTTCCAACAGCCCACCTCCAACACGCAGAAAGCCCAGCGACTCGCCGAGGTTGTAGAATTTCCGAATGCGGATGCGCAAGATATATCGTCGTGGTTGCTTCAAGCCTTCAAGCCCTTCACAGCGACCAACCACAGCGAGACGCCAAACACCCTCCGGGCGACGGGTGATGCTATTTTTGGATTTTGTGGTTGAACACCACATGCTGAGTGTGTGCCTCCACGGCTAAACCCGCCATTCGGAGACGTTCGTCAAAAAGAGACAGCGGACGCCATGTGTTAGATAGACAGCCTGATGCCATCTTATGTTGCCCGAAGCAGTGTGGCAGTTTCGACTAACCAACGATATCACGAGACAAGTCAGCTGGCTTCACTTTTCTCAATTCTTACCTTTTCGAGGTGCCGGCTTACCTAACCCGGACACGACTCGGCACCGAGTCGGAATACGACAAGAATGGACATCCGAGGGTAGAGAATGTCTCGCCAGCGCTATTTCTGGACCTTGCGAAGTTTTCCCATGGGCCATGAGTCCATGACTGCTGGAGACCTTCCCCAGTATTTCTTGCTTCATCTAAGCAGCGGTCCCTTGGAGGATGCCCATATTTACCCCGACTGAATGCTACAGAATAAGGAGCAGTGACGCCAAAAAGCAGGGAGCGATAAGAGCTCTGTGACAGTGGATAAGGATCAACAAGAAATTCTCGAGTCTTGATCCTTGGCACAGAGGGGAACACGGCCGGTACTCGAGCAAGGATAGAAGCTCGTCGACGGACTACGAGAACGCGGAAGCCTCATCTATCAGATGAAGCGCCAAGCCGGCAGCACCCTGCGCAGAGGAAGGAACCGTAGTCCCCTACGCGTGCGTGGCCGTGTTCGTGCCAGGAGCTCTCTGTTACCGGTGCTGTTTGAGCCTGGAAAAGTTCATCATGATTCCCTTTTCAGGATGAACTAGGCGGCCGTGAACTAGACAGCTCGGCAATTGATGACAATGTACGCAACGGAGTGTTTTTGCGGCAGTTTTGCTCTGATACGATCAAACAGATGACGATACCCTTGTCTCTCCCTCGGTGAACCACTGCCGTCCTGTTACCGAAAACAGCGAAGCCCCGGCTCTTCGGCGGCCTGCTGTTGGACTGTTGGATAACGCTCCAGTGTTTCCAGTGGTCCCCTGGAGGCCGGCGGGGTGTTCGCCGGGTCTCTTTACAAGGACTATCTGGCTTCCAGAACCCTCCTGGCCAGCTCTACCTGCGTACCCTGCGTAGAGCCAGCTAACAGAAGATACAGGCCCTGGCGACGTCACTGCAGATGGGCTACTTGGCAGTGCGCTGACACAGCCCGTGCCCCCTATCAAGTCTGCAGCGCGCAGCCAGCATGGGGGCCCTGGCGTGGAATTGTAGATGGGAGATGGCAGTTGTAGTGCGTGAGGTGGGCAATATCACCCCAGAAAACCCGCATTCCCACCTCCCGTATCCATTCTTCAGTGAGGTGAGAGAGTTGGGGTACCCAGCTGTAGGCTGTAGCAGTTGGGTAGGCCAAGCCAAAGTTAACAAAGACATGCTCGGCGCCGCCAAGATTCGACACATTCCAGATTATCGTTCTCAGCGATATCAATCGTCATTCTAGACGGTGGCCCACCCCTTTCTCTTTGAAATCGATCACTACATCTACGACCTCTTCTCGTCCGAGGCTGTCCGAGGCTGTCCGCAATTCCATCTACGATTCCCTCAAGACTCATCTTCGGCGTCTTACCCGCGCCATCTCACTGCTGCAGAGAGTCTGTGAGACTGGCACGGATCCCTCCTCGGAAACGACATGCAGCAGCCGCTAGTTTAGCCTCATTCTCTCGCATTCACTCACTCGCAGTCTCTCGCTCCTCCTGCTTTTCCCCCGCTCGGCTTTGGGCTCTTGTCTCCCGAAGCAGAGCAGACGGCTTCCCACGGTGGCTCTCACGTGGGATCGCGCAGCGCCGCCGCAGCCCGCGGGACCATATGACCTCGAAACATGTTCACCCCTCCTTCGACCCGTCATGGAGGCGAGGAAGTTCAACTGGCGGAGATACTCTGCGCCAGTTGCCATCGCCAGCATGATCCTAGCGGCCCTCTCCGTCGTCCTCTACTTCAACATTCGTGAATATCTCGCTGTTCGAGATGGGGTCCGATTTGATGTCTCTCTCTTCCCCAAAATTCCCTGGCGGCACGTCGCACAAGAGTACTGACGCTACGTGACAGGCCAACTTGCCGAGGGTCACTGTCGATCTCGGCTATGCGAGGTATTCTGGGAATTCGCTCCCGAGCGGTGTAAATCAGTTTCTGGGAATGCGGTATGCGGCGCCTCCGATAGGAAATCTGAGATGGCGAGCACCTCAAGATCCCGAGCCGAAAGAGGGCACGACAGATGCCATCGATGTAAGGCACTGGACCGTGTCGTTGGATCGAGTACCACCTCGCTGACAGAACCTCAGTTTGGGCCCATTTGTCTCGGGACGGATGTGACTTATCCTACTTCAGGTCAAGACGAGGACTGCTTATACGCCAACGTCTGGTCACCAACAAACACGACGGCCGACTCGAAGCTTCCTGTATGGTTGTTCATTCAAGGCGGTGGTAAGGCTCCCTCCACTCACATGACGTTGCTTCATGGAGAAATGAGGGCCTACTTGTGTTCAGGCTCTTGTGCTTCGGTCTTGTAGTAAGTTCCATCTGACACAGCTTCAGGTTACACCTCGAATGCCAATCCCAACTGGAACGGCTCTCAAGTTGTCGATGTCTCGGGCAAGAATGTCGTCTTTGTAAACTTCAACTACAGGGTCGGACTGTGGGGGTTCCTGGCGAGTGACCGGGTTCGAAAAGACGGCGAGCTGAACGTGGGACTCTTGGACCAGCGATTAATGATGAAATGGGTTCAGACTCATATATCAAAGGTGAATTCTCATGCTGCTTCACGCCATTTTCATCCATGCTCATAAGCACTACAGTTTGGCGGTGACCCAAATCATGTAGTTATCCACGGCCTCTCAGCCGGAGCAGGGTCGGTCGCCCTCCACCTCGCAGCTTACGGCGGACGCGACGACAAGCTCTTCATCGGCGCCATGTCCGAGTCGGTCTTCTTTCCCGCGCAGCCTCGTGTTCCGGAGCTCGAGTACCAGTTCAACCAGACGCTGGCTAAGGTGGGCTGCACAGATGACAAGGACCAGATGGGTTGTCTGCGCGGTAAAGACATCAAAGCGATCCAGGACGCCAATATCGCATCGCCGTTTCCGGGGAGGACGGCAAACCCGCACTTCTACTGGACTCCATGTATAGACGGCGACATTCTGCAAGATTACCCGTACCGTCTCTACGATAAGGGTTCCTTCATCAAAGTCCCCGTCCTCTTTGGGACAGGAAGCAACGGTTAGTCCCGTCATCCTAATGCAACAACGACTGAGGCACTAACACACTCCTTCAGAGGGATCCGTCTTCGCCGCCAACGTCGCGACCCAAGACGAGTTCGTCTCCTTCATGACAGATAATTACCCCAAACTCACAAAGAACGAAACCGACCCGATGCTGCAAAAGTACCCCCTGTTGCCGCCACTCCCGAACCACAACGTCTGGTTCCCGTCCACCAGCCAAGCCTACGGCGAGACGACCTTCATCTGCCCCGCCAACACCATCATGAACGCCTACGCGGCCGCCAACCGCTCCGGGACGAGCTGGTCCTACCGCTTCAACGTCCAGGACAACGACAACACGGCCTCCGGGCTCGGCGTCCCGCACGTCTTTGAGGCGCCCGCCGTCTTTGGCATCGACGCGTGCCCGACGCCCGACAGCTTCCGGACGTACAACAAACCCATTGTCTCGCTGATGATGAAGTACGTCATCTCGTTTGTGCGCGACCTGAATCCCAACACGTACAAGCTCGCGGGTGCGCCGGACTGGGGCGATTGGGGACGAAATCAGTCGCGGTACGTGTTTGAGTTGAATAAGAACCGGATGGAGAATGTCGATGATGGGCAGAGAGATCGGTGTAACTTTTGGAAGGGGATCGTGGAGGTCATGGAGCAGTGAGAACGGCCTTTTCTTTTTGGATATTAGAGTGCCGCGGGCCATGGATAATGAGGCGTTTGCATCTGGTGGGTTGGTTTCTTATTTTTCTTGTGTATACGAGTAGATGGCATATCGGGTTGATATCAGCATTGGATGATACACATAATGTGTTTATCTCAGATTTCTTCTACTGCATAATTTCAACATTGCTCTTACAGTACGTGTCTTTCTCTCCAGGGCCTATCGATCTTCTGCATCACACAATAGCCTTTGATTACAATATGATGGAGCATAGTGAGAGAGTATATCAGCCACTAAAATCGTTGGACACGACAGACTTACATACGCTGGAGGAAGTGGAGGCAATAGAAAACCACCAGGGAAACCGCACCTCCTAAACGGGCAATGTCAAGAGAAACTGTGCCGCAAATTCGGGCACCCGACGGGGCCAACCTGCATGTGCTTATGCTCAGCAAAAATCGCCAGGAAACGAGGCCTGAAATGGACAGTTGCGTCACGGACATGGCATGGTGCCGCTTTCTCTCATGTGACTGATGTTGTCGGCCTCAACGCAGTGGCGCGGCGCAAGGCAGCCGCCTCAACATTCGAATGAGTCCGTGGGTTATCGTGGTTTTTTATCCGGCTCCCGCCCGCCGCAATCTGACGAGATTCAAAAAAGATTTGAGTCATTTCGACTTTTTCACAAAGCTTCGCCGTCTCGTTTACGGCAACCGCACAGTTCGGTTCAAGCTCGAGCTCAGAGACTGGAGGGCAGCGAAAAATCAAGATGCCTGTGAAGGACCTCCAAACTGAGGGGGCACAGAAGGATCAGCAAAAGTCGGATCATGAAGAGAAGGCCGTATATGATGACGCGGACTGGGAGCACGTAGGGACGTCTATCGATGAAAAAGGTACGATTGCGTGTCCAGTATGGTCTGATTAACAGGGAGAATCTTTCTCGAGTCTCGATATTGACGGTGGGGTAGAAACGGTTGAAGAAGAGTGTACAGAAGACAAGGAAGCCAGCCCGCCGCGTAGCGTATCCTTTGAGACGCCGGAGCGCCGGTGGCAGGGACTTCGAAGACAGGAGGATGAAGCGAGAGGGAATGTTTTGTCTGAGCTGGTGAGCTTTTGTTTCTTTTTGGCATTATGAGAGATGTGGTGAAGCTGACCATATATTTTGTCTATGGTAGCTTTTCTTCCTGGCTGGATTGTTTTTATGGGCTGTCTGAGGTCTGAATCTCGGATTGATCGAAGGGCTCGTAAAATCATTAAAACTTACTAGCTATGCAACTTGATGAGACGGCCGCACTATATGATACTCCGTAATCAATAATCTACCGCCAATAATAGATGCTCCTCATCACTGCAGGTGATAACCATTGCCTAAAACACAATTCGTCTTGTCCAGCAGTCCCTCTCGTGACTCAGGGCCATGAGACAGCCTCGGAGAGAGCGGGTCCTGGAAGTGTAAATTCTTCTCTACCGGGCTTGCGTCCAGTGATGAAGTATCTGACATGTACTCATTAGCTGTAGTCGAGGACATGATGAAGATATCGCAGATGCCGGAGATCATGCTTACATTGGCCAGTAACCGTGAATCATTCGGTCCTTGATATCCCTCCGTACCTGAACGAGGAAGAGGTCGACCTGGTCGCGAGACCACTTATGACCACGGGTCAACGCGGCCATGGAGAAGCCCTCGATACCGGTGAGAAGATTCTCGCTATTCCATATGCCGATTTCCTTCCACTTGTAGTCCCTCGGCCAAGGGTTAATCGGCCACTTGGTCCTGGTCATCTGGACGTCGACGAACCCAGCCTCCATCATGACCTGTTTGAGTGACGCTACATCTGGGAACGGGAGTCCTAATATCACCGAGGCCTCTGCGAGCAAGTTTGCCCACGTTTGAAGTGCTGAATCGGGCCTCAGCGTTCCATCGTCGGACGTCGGATAGAGGTCGATTTCTTGCACTTCAACCCAACCATCGGGCTCAAGAAAACTTCGCGTCGCTTCCGGTCAGCCATCCGCCCACTGAACTATCTCATGGTGTAGACGTATGCTTACTCATAACAGTTTCTCAGGTACTTCTGCCAGTCGCTGATACCCGACGTGATGACCCTGCTGTGGATATACTGAAAAGGCCGTGAGTATGTCCAAGGGTCTTCAGCATCAGTGACTTGGAACTTGACGTTGGGTGGAACGCTGCGAGCAAATGTCAGCCTATCTTGTACGCGACTCTTTCCTGGAGAATCTAGAGCATCCAAGATAGGTACTCACTAGTTAGGCATTGTCGGTGAGAGATCAAAAGCGATAACCTATCGGATACCTCTGTGAGTATATACTCAAACATAACAGCCAGTAGCATTGGCGGCATGCTTAAGGGGTGCATATAAGCAAGCAAATTATTTACCTCAGCTTCGGGGTGTTCGTCTCCGAAGTCAAGAGCCCAGATACCAGTGCCCGTACCTATGTCGAGTACTCTGCCTACCGTAGAACCAGGTTGACATGGTGGAGCAACGCCGAGCTTGTTGTCCGTTACGAGAAGACACATTGAATGCGTAAGATCTACACCGTTTGTTAGAAAGACAGATTGAAGCAAAATGACTAGTGGCTCATAAGTACCTAGCCTCTCCAGCTCTTTCTCATCGTTAGGAAAGATGTATGCTTCTACAGTTTTAGAAGTGCCCTCAAATATGGTAGATGGCATGGACTAGTGTTACCTCCATCTTTGTAGTGGTGGTAGGTTCTGCCGTTCTCATTCCTGTACTGGAAGATAGACTCTCGAAGACTAATGCTGGAGGAGGCAGCGTCCTTTACAGGAGATGTGAGCGATGTGAGGCGCTTCGAAGGTCTAGGACCTACAACTTACATCATCTCCAAAGGCTGAATCGGCGTCACCGTGGTTTGTCTCTGGCTGTTAAACGTTGAAATCTGTTTAGATATAAGACGCCAAATGATGTTTTGCGAGCTCAGTCTTACCTCCTGGTCAACCACGATCTCAACGACTTGATTGTCTTGCGACATGTTCGGAGTCACAGTTCGTTATGACACCGGCTCATGATTACTTTTCGTCGACGGAACCAACTTTTCGGGTGTCAGAAACAAACTGTGAGAAAAGAAACAACAAGTACAAGACTGGCGCGGGGCAGCAGCTGTTTTTGTGATGGAAATTCGGCACTCCCAGGGTAGCCCGCCCCTGTCCTTGACCACGGATGCACACAAGAACCAACGAACCAACAAACCAACATGCATACGCGTCTCTAGAAATGGTCATCCATCGATATAGTGGATACATGGAAGAGGCACAGTCGCTTGGTATTCACCTTATCGAACATAATGTGACAGGGGCAGGACGGGCCTGCACTATAACCGGACGGTTGGATCAGGCATTCTCATCGCCGCTAGCCTTCCATCATAAACCAGCTTCGGAACAGCTTCATTTTCTGTGCCACGAATAGCTCAACGATAATCGACTGCGGTATTAAACCAACGAAATGAAGATGCTGAAATCGCATCGACATGACTAGTGATGGGCAGTTTGGAGCAACGCCCGCGGCGGACAGCTTCTTCGCTACAAAGACTAAGTAAGATTTCCATGTGAATCATCTTTGTTCCATAGCGTGAAGGTTGCATCACTCGAATCAGTGTCATATCCCATAGCCGATCCATGATTCCTATAGCGTCTCTTGCCTTAGCCATTCTTGTTGGTATCCAGTTCCGCCTTGAAGACCAACTAGGTAATCCACCTGAGGGCAGAGCCTCTATATCGCTATACAACCTTTGACATCCAGCTCAGCTAGGATAGATGGTAAGGCAAGTTTAGCATGCTGGCCACTCGTTCCACTCAATTGGCTCCTTGTACAAATCCCCTACACTAATTCAAGTAATGTTGCACTTGTATGCATACACGTCAGTGGCACTGGAAAATATCTTCCCATTCCAAATTCGTCCCTCATCTGGCACTTGCATGCAATTTTCCATCAAGATGCAGCCGGCGTGTGGCTCTGGGCCGGAGCTGGACTTGTAGCTGAAGTCGGGCTCGTAGCGGAAGTTGTGTTCTCAGCTGTAGCCGAAGCTGCAGCCGGAGGGGAAGATGGAGTCTCAGCCGGCGCAGAAGTCTGAGCCGCAGGGGAGACAGCGGCTTCGGGGGACGGGGGTGCCGGGGGAGCCGGGCTGTCCACCTTCTCTGGCTTGCGACCGATGATGAAGTATCTGTATCGTGTCAGCCGAACATTCTTCTCGGTCTAAACCTTTCATTCCTCGGAATACTTACGCTGGCCACCATGCGTGGATGGTTCTATCCTTGATGTTGTTGCGTACATCAATGAGGAAGACGTTGACTTCATCCCGCGACCAATCCAGGGCACGCGTCAAAGCCGCCATCGTGAAGCCCTCGAGACCACTAGAGACATTCTCGCCGTGCCAGGAGCCGATTTCTTTATACTTCTCATCTTTTGGCCAAGTGTTGGTGGGCCACTTGTACAGATCCAACGACACGTCCACAAAGCCTACCTCTGTGAGAAGATCCTTCAATGGCGGAACTTCAACATAGGGGCGACCGAACTTCTCCGATGCCTCGAGGAGGAGGTCACACCACTTAATCAGTGAGTGCTCGTGCGTGAGAGTTCCGTCGTCCGATCGCGGATAAAGATCGAACTCTTGTAGCTCAATCCATCCGCCAGGCTCCAGATTGCTTTATCCATAACGTTAGCGCGTTGTTCATGTTTGAGGTAATCCCTTACCCAACTAAAGTGGCTGATGAATATAATTGTGAAGACTCACTCATAACAACGTTGTAAGTACAGCTTCCAGTCACCGATACTGGAAGTCATAACTCGGCTATGGATGTAGGAAAAGGGCCGGGACCATGTCCACTCTTCCTCAGCATCATCGACCTCAAACCTGCAATTTGGGGGCACGCTGTGACGATTGAATATGTTAGAAATTGTGTCTCGTACTCACGCCTTTGTGAAGACAACTTACTAGCCAGGAAGAGTCGGCGATAAGTCAATACCGTACACCTATTAAACCATCGCAGTTAGATGATGTACGTCCCATATCAGGAAGTAAACCGAGAGACGGAACGACTCTTGGCTCGCGACGAGGTGAGCCCACATCGCAGACTTACTTCAGCTTCAGGGTGCTCATCAGCAAAGTTGAGGGCCCAAATGCCAGATCCAGTTCCAACATCGAGTACCCGACCGACTTTGGTGCCTTCCTTGCAAGGCGGGGCAACTCCAAGTCTATCATCGAGCGAAAGAAGCCACAAATGGTGCTGCAAATCTGGATACAATGTCAGAGAAGTGTCACGGTAGGAGGCGGAACTATGTGAGATAGCCTACCTAGCCTGTCCAATTCTCGCTCGTCGTTGGGAAGATTGTATTCTAGAGTCGAGTCAGAATGGGGTTTTAAACGGGGCAGAAGCGCGAATGCACATACTGCCATCCTTGTATCGGTGATAAGTCCTGCCGTTTTCGAGGCGGTAATCAAGAAGAGAATTGCGAAGACTGGTGCTTGATGAAGCTACGCTCTGTAAGATGTGACGGTGTGTGAGATATTGACCTTCCTCTATAGTCTGGGGTACTGCCTATGGCAACACGAGCTTGAGCTTACACTTCCCACTTCTGAACGAATATCATCCTGTTAGTTTTACAGTCAGTATACTTCTGAAGCAAACTTCGTCATGTGACGAAAGACTAGCTCCGCTTACATCGTCCACGTCAAGGACCGCGGCGTTGTTGTCATGAGCCATGTTGGCCGTAACGAAAGCTGCACTCAATCTTACTGAACCACAGTATTGGGTCAAGTTTGTGTACAAATATGGTGTCACAAAAGTCGGAGAAAAAAAAGGACTGAAGAGTAGTAGCGATGAGGGGGTAGGACTGGGCTCTACAATCCCTTTTGTGCAGAGCACAAAACCGGCCTTGCCAACATCCCCCCAGCCAACCCCTCTTCTTCGCAAGAGGAACCAACGGGGAAACATGCATATGCGCACCGATGGCGTTGCCACCGCGTTGCAAACAAATGTGGAACTGAAGAAGATGCGACCGAATAGGAAGGTCTAACTTTAGACAAGGGGAAAATAGTGTCTCCCACCGAATGGATGGTAATGCTTGTCACATCTGACCTCGGCCGCTCCCATCCTTGTCTGCAAAGGCTCGAGGCAAACATCGAGATTACTAGTCAACTAGCTTTCCTTATCTATGCCACTGGTGTCCAACAGTGTGTAGTTGCCAAGATGCCAGCTCAACGGACAATAGAGTCTGGCTTTTAACAATGAAAGCCCCGTCTCGAAGAGGACCATTCGGCAAGTGAACCGCAACATAAGCCATTAGCCATTCGGATAGAAAGATTACGTCGAGCGAAAGCTGTTCATGTCTAAGCAAGTCACTAAGTATCGTCTAGACATTCCGTTCTCATCCCAGCAAAACATTAAAGCAGGCATGCAGGATCAGAACCGAAGCCGCCCCTCCATCTCTAGTGCATGTCTTCATGGTCTAAAAGATTAAAACTTGCAGCTTGGTGCCGCTGTTGTTTGCATCCGTATGATTCGTGGGTTGCAAGTCGATCTATCCCTGCAAAACCCCAGGTAAGACTGGCACTAAAGCGACTAGAGCCGCTAGATCCCGTCTCGAACGCAACCTCAGTCGACAACCGTAACTCCGAACCATGTCATCAAGATGAGCTCGGTGCTGGAGCCTGAGAAGGAGAAGAAGCAGAAGCCTCAGTTGCAGCAGGAGCTTCTGGTGAAGCAGGAGCCGAGGAAGCAGGAGCCGGGGCAGCTGTGGCTTCTTCCTTGCCTGGCTTGCGTCCAATAATGGAGTAGCTATCTCGGGAGTCAGAATGAACTTGATGGCATGGAAATCACTATGACCTACGTTGGAAGGTAACCGTGAATTTGCCGGTTGTTGACGTCCTTTCGCACGTCAATGAGGAACACGTTGACCTCCTCGGCAGTCCACTCGAAAGCCCTGGTAAACGCTGCCATGGTGAAACCCTCGATGCCAGCTGAACCATTTTCTAGCTGGAGTCTGCCAAGTTGCTTATACTTGGGGTCTTTAGCCCAGTCGTTGAGCGGCCACTTGAACGCAGTGATAGCAACGTCAACGAATCCGGCAGCTTGCACCTTCTCTGGAAGGCCTTCGGGGTCAATGTAAGGACGCCCAAGCTTGATTGTTGCCTCGTGCAGCAGCTTGCTCCATTTGGAAATCGCGTGGTCTGGGGTCAGCGTCCCGTCATCCGACTCGCAGTATACAGCAATCTCCTGCAGTTCGACCCACCCACCAGGTACGAGGTTGCTTTATTGACACCCAAATCAGCTTCTGCCGTGATCATACGTAGATCGGAACGTAGAAGGAAGAATAGACTTACTGGTAGCACCTGCGAAGATACAAATCCCAGTCGCTGATGCTGCCTGTCATGACACGACTATGAATATAATCGAAAGGCCTTGAATACGTCCATTCCTCTTCGACATCATCAACCTCAAATCTGACATTTGGTGGTACGCTGAAAGAAATCCATGTAAGCCGACTTCCGCCTAGAGCCCTCAATTTTACGATCAACGCGTAAGGTAGGGAAGAAGGAGACGCCTACTAGTCAGGGAGGGTTGGCGAGAGGTCAATACCGAGGACCTAAGGGGAAACAAAATCAGTCAAGTATGTTCAAAAACAACTGATTTTCATTTGAGGGGCTCTTGGTACCTCAGCATCGGGATGATCATCTGCATAGTTGATTGCCCAGATGCCACTGCCGGTGCCGACATCAAGGACTCGTCCAACTTCAGCATCCAATTGCCCGGGCGGAGCCATTCCAGATGCGAAGTCCATTGAGATGGCCCAAAGCTCATCCTGCATATCTATGGCCAATGTTAGTGAGGATCTGTATAGCACATGAGCTAGTGGATTCTACCTAGCCTTTCCATTTCCCTTTCATCGTTAGGAATCGTGTATTCTCAGGTCAAAGTCAGAACAGCTCTTCAGTAATCGACAAGAGTAAACACACTGCCATCTTTGTACCGGTGGTATGTTCTGCCGTTCTCAACGCGGTAGTCCAAGATTGAGGCCCGGAGACTGGTGCTTGAAGAAGCAATGCTCTGTGTCAAGCATGTAAGTAAGACTCATGATACGTTGAAGAGTTGGGGTGAAGCTTGCACATACGCTTCCAATATCTGACTGAGCATCTTCATGCTAAACAAATTTAGAACGCCATCGCAATTCGAGATGGTACGGTGACTTTACCTGATCGTCTGCGACGATTTGGGGTGTGACAGTAGTGCTCGGTTCGGCCATCTTGGGGGAGAGACTGGCGCTTTGGCAAGTCTCGTGCCGATCTCGCTGTATGCCTTTTCGGTACTGATGATATCAAAGCACTACGCCAACTGTAAATAATTCTAAGACAGGGTGATGGAGAAAATTGTTGAGGGGTCATTCATTGTTTTTGTGACAAAGACAGTCGATCTCAGCCCGCCACCCCTCTTCTGAGCTGGGGGGTCGGCGAAGAAACCAACGAGCAAACATGCATATGCATCTCGACGGTGCAGTTTCCCCATTGCAGAAAATTATGGGGCAGAGAAAACTAGGGTCGAATGAAGAGAGAGAGAACGCGCCATGGAGATGTGGAACAGCTTCCAACCGCATGTTGCGATTTTACCACTTGCTGCATCAGTCGACCAACCCCTGCCAACGCAGAAGATGGGATGCCCACCTTCGGAAGGCATCCCGCGTCCGCGGTGCGCCAGACCCTTACCCATGCCAACAAAACTTTGATGCCTCGGTCAAGCGACGATTGTGGGCAACTCATGTGTTCCAATTCAGAGTGATCTGTTCATTTGAGATGGTCCGGAACAGGACGGAACTCTTTCCAGCCAATCCATGGTCCAAATTGACTCAATACTAGATCTCCTAGCCATTCTAGGAGAATTGCTTAAAAGATCCTTCCCGGATATCAAGTTGGAGTTGCTGGCGTGCTCTGATCTTGAGGCGGAGCTGAAGTATCTTCCTTCGGAGGTTTCCTACCCACAAGAGTCGATCTACGGAAGGTTATGTCAGTCTTGGAGGAAGGTCTCTGATACAAGGTGCCAAGGCAACTTACATGGGCATGTACGAGTGGATTCGCTTGTCTCTCATGTCCTTACGAACACCCACAAGGAAAACTTGGACCTCCTCCTTCGTCCAGTTGTGGACGCGGGTCAAAGGTGCGAGAGCCATAGCTTCAGCGGCATCCACGAAGTTGTGGAAGTTCCACTCGCCAATTCGCTTGTGGTGCTCATCCTTGGGCCATGGGTTAGAAGGCCACTTGAAGTTCTCCTGGAGCACGCTTTCGAATCCAACATCGACCATCTGCTCCCTCATCTCAGAGACAGGCGCGAACCTGCGACCAAACTTTTCCGCAGCTTCTCGAATGAGCGAAACAAATTGAGCCAGAGGCTTTTCAGGAGGCAGAGTGTCATCATCGGCTCTGATAATGAACTCTGACTCCTGGATCTCGAAGTAGCCCCCCGGGACGAGGTTACTATTACACGAGTACAGTCAGCCCTGGGTGATACGCTTCGTACTCGTGAACGTTCAATAACATGAACATCAATAAGACAAGTGATAGAACGAACTACAGAAACCAGACATACTCGTAGGCTTTTTGAATGATCTTCTTCCAATCCGAAATGGAGCCATTCATAAATCGAAGGTGAATGTAGTCAAAAGGCCGGGAGTACAGCCACTCCTCCTCGACATCATCGACCTCGAACTGAACGTTAGGAGGCACCCTAAGTAATCATCGTTAGCAGACCAGATTCACGCGTTTCAATAGGCAGAATTCGCCTACTCTTGTGGCTGGATAGGAGAGAGATCAACGCCCAACACCTGTCTCACTGTCAGAAACCTGCCTCTCAAAACAAGGCATATGATCAGCTCTTACTTCCGTCTCTGGATGGTTGTCACCATAGTCGATGGCCCAGAGGCCTGTCCCGGTACCAAGGTCAAGAACACGGCCGACCTTGGCGCCTTCGTCGCAAGGAGGAGCGAACCCTAGTCTATCGTGAAATGTGAGGAGGCAGATTTCGTGTTGCATGTCTGCTTCAATTAGTGATGAGTTCTAGTCACCTAGTGAGAAATGACACGCGATTTATCACTCACCTTGTCTATCCTTTTCCATGTCGTCGTTAGGCCAGGCATATTCTGAGATCGGTTAGCAGAAGTTTACGACTCAAACCTCTTGCAAGGAGTATAGACTCACTCCCATCTTTGTACTTGTGATAAGATCTTCCATTCTCAATTCTATACTCTAGAATGGAATTCTTCACGCTCGTAGTCTCTGACCGAAGACTCTCAAGATCCTGTTCACTATCGGAGACCTGATGCGATGATCATCAGCATTATTACTCCGACGACATGAGACTTGCACGAATCCGTACTTCTTCTTCAGCGACCAGGTGGGCCTCCGGATTGCCCTGTGCAGCGGCCATGACCGTAATCCTTCGAGACCGTCCTGGCGAGTGTCTTCTGATTTAATCCAGCAATTTAGGAGTCTATTTCTAGGAAATTGAGGAGCGCCTTTCAGTTACAGGAACGCATAAGGTGATATTTCGGAATTTGGGAGATGACCAGATGAATCAACCCCTCTTTGCTTGTCAAACCAACTCGTGTTCTGCCAACCGCGGTCTGCCCATCAACCACCAACCACAGTATCAACGTGCAGGGCGCATGATGCAGGCGGGCGGCGACGTTGCCTCTTTGCAGACCGAAAAACTGGAGATGCAGCGGGGGAATGGGAAAAGCATCCCCCGCCGCGGGTCGCGGGCAAAACACCCGCCAGGCTAGTAGTAACCCATGCATCCTGCCATGTAATAGCCGCACCAAACGACTCAAAGGCCACAAAAGTTATACACGCAATTATGATGCCAATCGTTCTTTCAATATAGACATAGTTTTTGTTTTCGAGCCTGTGATTCTTAATCAAAGTCTGACATCTTCGAGTTGATGATAGAAAGTCGTTGAAGCTAGAAGACGCTATGCGACCGAAGTAAAGACGAAGTTCGGACAGGACCTCAACACTCCCAGGTCCGGTGCCAACTGGAAATATATACCCCTCGAAAGAACAAGAGCCCCGCAAGAAATCTTTCTAGCCTCAAATAATCCAGCTCAAGCATGGAAAGCCACCTTGAGTCATCAGCTAGCTAAACGAACCTCGGGCTCACTGAGGTGAAGCTGAGGCCGCAGCTGGAGCTGTCTCGGTAGTTGCTGCTGGAGTCGCAGCTTTCAATGGCTTCCTGCCCACAAGTGTATAACTAGGAATGTTATCAGCAAGACCACCAACTCAAAGGGCAGAAAGCACACTGGGACTTACATGGGAAAGTATGAGTGAACCTTGGGGTCTCTGAGATCCTTCCGCACATCGGCGGCGAATACGAGCACCTCCTCCTTGGTCCAACCGTGTACTCGGGTAAGAGGCGCCAAAGAGACAGTCTCGACTGCGCCGCCGAAGTTGTGGTAATTCCACTCCCCGATCTTCTTATACTTGGGATCCTTGGCCCAAGGATTCGTAGGCCACTTGAAGACCGTCAGCTCCACGTCTTCGAACCCGACCTCTGTGAGGACGTCCTTTAGATCAGGAACATGGACTAAGGGCACACCCATCACCACGTAAGCTTCGCGGATCAGGGCACCGAATCTAGACAATGCCTTCTCGGGAGGCAATGTCCCATCGTCTGCGGCTGGGGACATGTCTGACTCCTGTATCTCGTACCATCCGCCGGGCGTGAGGTGGCTTTATGTTTGGGAAAAGTGTCAGATATCTTTCGCAGAGTTGGACTCTGGTAATAACACCTACTCGTAGGCCTTCTTGATCATCTTCTTCCAGTCGCTGATGCCGCCCGTGATGATTCGACTGTGAATGTAGTCGAATGGCTGTGAATAAAGCCACTCCTCCTCGATATCATCAATCTCGAATCTCACATTAGGCGGAACGCTGTGAGAGATGAACGATCAGTCTTCCGAGTGTCTTTTCATGACTGACCAGTCTGTCATGAGGGATTAACATACTCTGACGGTTGAACAGGAGAAAGATCCATGCCCAGCACCTAAGGGACGGGTCGCCGTTAGCCATTTCTCGCACATCACGTTGAGAGTTAGGCTGCGTCACAAGGATTAAGACTCACTTCGGCTTCAGGATGCAGATCCGCAAAGTCGATTGCCCACAATCCAGTACCTGTGCCAAGATCGAGAACACGACCAACTTTCGCGCCAGGTTCACATGGAGGGGTTACGCCGAGCTTTCCATCCCACGTGAGATAAAAGATCTCATGCTGCATGTCTATTGTGCCCTGTCAGTGTGATAAGACACTAGTCTGTGGTAGCTTGCCTTACCAAGTCTATCGAGCTCTGTCTCGTCGTTGGGAACGAGGTATTCTAGCGAAGCTGGTCAACCGCTGGATGCAGTCGAAAAGCGTCTGCGTTACCTACTGCCATCCTTATACTTATGATAAGTTCGACCATTTTCTTGGCGCCACTCGAGCATAGATGCCTTGATGCTCGTTGTCTCTGATTGAATACTCTATCAAGAGAGCAGCATGAGTAAAAATATCTAAGTGGAACAAGAGCGCGAGGCCGGTGTTGTCCTCACCTCGAGATCAGCCTCGCTGTCGGTCACGTCAGCCTACACTTTGCATTAGTTGTTATCTACTTGGTGTTCAAAGTTGCAGTTACACGTACATGGTCTTCAGCAACAAGCCGGACCTCGTTATCCACGATGGAAGCCATGCTCGCAGGGGCTCGTTCGTGCAGTGAACAAAATGTCCAACCTCAATGTTTCTCCTGCAAACAGAAATATGGGCAACGTAAGAGCGCGAATCTTGACGAGAAGCAAAAGGCATTCGGGTAGCGGGGGATGCACAAGCTTGTCTATTTGTTGCGACCAAAACATTCGATTGTAACCCCCTCTTTCCGGCCCATGTTCTTGAGCAGGGCCAACAGAACAAAATGTACATTGCATAATGCAAGCACAGCGGCCAAGTTGTCTCCATTTAGAAGGGAATTGTGGGACAGAGAGGGGGCCGTCGTTCGTTGCTCGGTATCGAGCCGCCCAAACCCATGGTAGAGCTGTTGGACGCAACGCCCGACCTTCTGAATCTGTCCGGAGCCGAGACAAAGGTCCGAGTCACCCCGGCTTCAGCCACAGGATTGATTCGATTTGTGTTTTTGACGAGCCGGGCAAAGATTGAAATACTGTTAATTGGCGGCATTGTTCGTTTTCTTCGTCTTGGGGGAAGAGGTTGGATTCCCGAATAGAAACAGAAGTCGGGCTTCACGATGTCTTATTATCATTCACATTTCCTAACCATATCCAGTCGTAAGGCAGTGGCATAGTTCTCAAAACCTCTGTTCCAATATCTACTCTTCCTTAGCCTCTGGCTTCCGTCCAACGACAAAATACCTAAGTTACTCAAGTCAGCATGCAAGGCGTGTTCGGCTGGTGGAATTAGAGACGGCTTACATGGGGACATAAGTGTGGTAATTCTTGTTAGCCAGGTCCTTGCGGACATCAGCCAAAAAAATATTCACCTCCTCCCTAGTCCACTTGTGGGCGCGCGTCAGAGGCGCAATGGAAATAGCTTCAAGACCAGCATTGCTGTTCTCAAAGCCCCACGCGCCCAGTTCCTTGAACGAGGGATCCTTGGGCCAAGTGTTGATGGGCCACTTGTACCGGCTCAGCGTCACGTCTTTGAAGCCCACCTCGGTCATCAGCGTCTTCAAGGAAGACACAGAGACGTACTCACGGCCAAAGATGGCGGCGGCTTCTTTGAGGAGGTTGCCATACTTAGCCAAGGGGCAGTTTGCAGGAAACGTTCCGTCATCAGACTGGAATTCCATCTCTGGCTCCTGCAGTTCGAGGAAACCGCCAGGTTGGATGTGACTTACACTCATTAGCAGACAGCCATCGAGCAAAAGACAGAAGTAAACGTCGCACTTACTTGAGACATTTAGTGAGGTACACCTTCCAGTCTGCGATGCTCGACGACATGAAGCGACTATGGATGTAGTCGAACGGAATGTTATACGTCCACTCCTCGTCAATGTCGTCAATTTCAAATTTGACGTTCGTAGCTACGCTGAGAAGTCCCAACCTCTTAGTCCTCTCTCCCAATAGCTTCACAGGTCCAGAAACCTACATGTCTGGCTGCGTAGCTGATAGATCAACGCCGAGAACCTGATCCACAGTCAACACGCATCCAAAATCCATCATCATGTTTGAGCTTGCCTCGGCTTCGGGGTGATCGTCGCCGAATTGAATCGCCCAGATTCCTGTGCCCGTGCCAACATCCAATACTCTATTAACCTTGACGTCAGGCTGGCACGGAGGTGCAAGTCCGAGCCGACCACCGAGGGTTATGAGGCATATGTGATGTTGCATATCTAGCAGTGTCAGATGAGCAAGCTACATACTTCGAGTGGACCAAAGCCTCCGCAGAGGTGACATACCCATTCCATCATTCTCTCGCTCATCGTTGGGGATCGCGTATTCTTGTTTTCAAGGCAGTCAGCATGCCAGGCAAAAAACCAGCTTTCGCAGAGACATGCTGAATGCGATACTCACTCCTGTCTTTGTAACGGTGGTACGTCCGCCCATTTTCGAACCGGTAGTCCAAGATTGAGCCGCTGATGCTGGTGCTTGAGGAAGCGATACTTGCAACGTCTGATTGACCATCTTCCAGAGACTACAAATTCCGTAAGCTCAAAAGTGATAGATGCCAAAATGACCACAAACGTATTGACCTGTTCATCAGCAACAATTTTGACCTCGTGGTCGACTTCAGCCATGACTGCAAGTTTTGATACCGATGACAGTATGTACCGTAGTTGCAGGGAAGCCGAGTGGAATCTTATATTGGTATTCCAATGGTACTGAGGTGGATGGAAGCTAAGAATCTGGCCAAGGGCTGGAGAGCAGGCAACGAAATTTATAGCAAAGCAACGCGCCCATCGCTTACAATCCCTCATTCAGACTTCGAAGCAAACCAACGAGGAAAATGCGCACACAACGCATGCCACCGGCGAAGTTGCCCCTTGGCAGCATTCTGGGTGGACCCCAGAGAGCTGCCGCCGAATGGAAAGCAGAAATCTCAAGGCAGGGGGATCAAAAATACGATGTCTTGTTCTGCATGGTCCTCACACTTGCGTTTGCGGTAATTGACTCGATATCTGACTGGCTGTACATCTCTTCCCCTGTATGTAGCCCGTACCACCAGCATGGACTTTTACCTCTCCTTCCATTTCGACGAAGCAAGATGCCAGCAAATGGATCGCCAGTCAGAAGTTCTAATCCACGTCCAGGGGTATGCTTCTCTTTCTCTGGCCTTCTTACATGTAGCCCTCGACAAGTCTCCCGCAAGGTGGTGTCAAATCGATTTGCAAGACATTCTCGTTAGGTTGTCGAAAGGGGCACTGCCTCTACTTCTTCTCTTCCGGCTTCCTTCCCACGATGAAATACCTTGAACAGACCAATTAGCACAAACACCTCATTCGAAGAAGACTTTAGATCACCACTTACACAGGGAAATACGCATGAAACTCCCGATTCCTCAAATTCCTCCTCACATCCCCCAAGAACCCCTCCACCTCCCCGCGACTCCACCTCAAAGCCCTCGTGAAAGGCGCCATAGCCAACGCCTCAAACGCTCCTACAATATTCTTATGATTAATGTCAGGATTATGTCCAAAGAAACGCTGTCTATCGATGGGCGGGATTTCCTTCGGCTTCCGGGTGGTCATCGCCAAATTCGATAGCCCAGATGCCGGTTCCCGTGCCGAGATCGAGGACCCTGTTAACCTCGGCGCCTGCTAGGCAAGGAGGCGCAAGACCGAGTCTGCCGCCCAGCGTCACGAGGCAGATGCGGTGTTGTAGATCTATCGAAACGCGATCAGATTCTAAATCCTAGGAAAACAGATATATAAAAACCCTCACCTAGTCTATCCACTTCCCTCTCATCGTTGGGGATGTGGTACTCTTGCGGATCTGTTACCTTTCCGCACAAACAATAGAATGATACTACAAGGCTCACTTCCATCTTTATACCGATGATACGTCCGGCCGTTCTCAAAGCGGCAGTCTATAATTGAACTGGAAACGCTTGTGCCCGACGAGGCGATGCTCTTGGAGGGCAGTCAGAAAAATGCCACAAGGACTCATCGAGCAGATTCTTGTTGGCTTACTTCGATTTCTGCTTGGTCATTGTTTGATATCTGAGTACACAATCCAAGTCAGTCTACTGCTGCGAGGAGGTATACACGACGTTTCAAAGGACACAGTACCCCATCATCGGCAGCGATAACAACTTCGCGGTCAATCTCCGCCATTCCACTTTGAGTATCGAGGACTGAAGAGTTGGAGTTTGGGTCACTGCTGCTTGCTGCACATCAACCTCATTCAATAAAATAAACCTCGCCCGACGAACGACGAGCAAGCACGTTAATGAGGAATAGGCCACATTATATGTACAGGCACCGGGGCAAGGGGTTTGAGTCCCCCCCCCCCCCTCATCTTGGCGAACAGAAACCAACACAACAACAACTGCAGGCCAACGGCGAATTTGTCCCCCTCCACGAGAGTCCACGACGTCTGTATGTGGAGACGAGGAAACTGCAGTTCCATCAGAGCTCAGAAAAGATGCTGGACTCACGTTTCCTGCAGTCCCCGAAACTGGTGTGGAATCCTGGTCATTGCTATTCACATACATAAATAAAGTACGTGGACTGTAGACAACCCATTTTACTCACCAACTGGTCTCGATGTGGGCGGAAATGTTAGACGGAAGCCAACCCCCTCCCCCTCAGCGTGCCGTCTGGGAAGTGAATCTGTCTTGCATACGGAACCGCGGATGGGCACCCGGCTCCGACCCGATCCCCGCGGAGTCAACCAACTTGGGGCATTTCCGATGACCAGCTCTCCTACCTCGTGGAGATTTCGCGGATACCATTACAAGAATGCATTGTCCGGAACCATCCTCAAGAATGATGCCGGAGTGGATGTACGATAGCCGGCGTTAGTGATTATACTATATCACGAAGCTTCAGATCAAGGCCTTTGGCATCATCAGAAGAAACTAGGTAGTTGGAGATCCGAATATGATTCATGAGGACTGTCAAGGGAGGATGCGCTTAAACCAAACGCGTATTGTTACAGCCCTTTGGGGGCCATCTAGACCTGGTCCGATTATACATGTTTCTAGCTCCAACTCCTAGCTTAAACCAAACAAAAAACAAAGCTCACATCACTCCTTTGGGAACAGCTCCGCCGAAATATCCTTATCCCTTCTCTGGTGATTTGTCCGGCTTGAACTGCTACCAATGACGGTCGGTGCGTCGCCATCTGTGTCTGGGTCGTATTCGGCATCATCCGCATGCTTCGCCTTCTTCAGCTTCAAGCTCGCTCCATCGTCCGAATTCGCACCTTCCTCGCTTGCCGAGTCGGCGTCGTCGTACGGGCTGACACCCGCGTGTCTCGAGCTCCAGTCAGGGTCCTCCTCTGGTAGTCGCTCGTGTTCGTTCTGGGGCTGCTTGATGAAAGAGTCGATGATGTAATACTGCATGGCGTTCATAACGAGCGGGAAGAACATCATGACGAAGAAGATTTGCAGCTGCTCGTTGCCCTCGGTCCACCGCAATGCCCAGTCGCCGACGCGCGAGATCCAGGGGAGGAGAAGGAAGATGATGAGGACGCAGAACTTCATGCCAAACAGGCCGCAGAAGTAAATGAAGGACTGCTTCAGCCACCACCAGGCGTTGGGAGGTGTGCCATAGTTGCCGGACCGGATCGACTCCTCAGGCTTGCCCAAGGGTGTGTACGCGACGAGGCCGGTCAGAACGCGGAGAAGTACGATGAGGATGGGGATACCGATGGTGGTCTGTAACACGCATATTAGTACAAGGTCGGAGGGAGAAAGGAAACGATTAGTTTGCTTACATCAATAGCGAGATTGAGCAGGTAAAAAGAGCACGGGTTTGGTGTGTAGTCCTCGCCGCGTCTCATCAACCTCTGCGCGTTGGCCGTGGTTGCGGGGTCCAGTGTCACAGAAAAGCGCCCTGACGTCAACATTGACATGAAGATGTTGGCGATGTGGACGAGCACCGAGCCAAACACCTGCTTCGAAACGTCGAAGAACCAGATCTTGACTGGACGTTGTGGCCGCTCTCTCCAGCGCTTGAAAACCAACGACAGCAAGGCAAGGCCACCCAGGGCCGCCTGGACGATGAGGGCAAAGGAGCCAAGCAGGCTGCACTCGCCGTTGCCACCTTCTTCGCCCTGTGTTGCAGCGTGGGTAGCCGTGGCGGCGGCGGCGTCGCTCGTGAAGGTCGCGACGGCGCCGGCGAGGACTTCTGTCGGGGTCGCGATAGGGATCATGGTGTTTGCTGCTGCGTCGACTGCTGCTGTTGCTGTAGCTGCTACGAAGGCGGCGAGTGAAGTAGGAACATCTTGGGCGGCAGTCGCTATCAGGTAGGGTGGCGGAGGGGCCATTGGCCTGGCCGGGTCGGGGTGTGTTGAAAAGGGACTAGCAGAGGGATGGACAGAGAGAAAAAGAGCGGTCTCGTGCGAATGACGGGGTGATGTTTGGTCGGAAGGGGGGGCGATAAAGCGGCCGTCGGTATGTGGATGACGTTCTTTGGGGTGGGAGGAGGGTCGATCGCTTTAGGTCGAACAACGGGTTTTTGGCTGACGGATTAGGAGTGAAGGCGAGACAAGCGCATGCAACCGCGTTGTGGATTTGGGGTACCGTAGGCGTAGGAAAAAGGAAGTAATTCGAAAATTGGAAACCGGCGGCAAAAGGAAGAAGCAATACAAAGTAACAACCCTCCGAAAAGTCTGGGCGAGGAGGGATGTTTAAAAGGGAAGAAAGTAAAAGAAAGAGAAACACGGAGATAGAAAGAAGAGGAGCGGGCCAAGGTGTAGCGAGGAGCGGACAGGCAAAAAAGGTGATCGTCGTCGGGGATTGATGGGCCAAAAGGGCGGGCTGTCACGAGGCGGAGTAAGAAAGTGACATGCAGCACAGACTTGGGGGAGCTTCAGCCTTCAGCTTAGGCAACTGCGTTGGGTGAAGAGTTGATATCTTGGCACCGTGGCGCCTTTGTACCAAAGTATGAGCCACGGGTCAGTGAGCTGTCTGGCGTTTGTGTGTCTGTTCGAGCGAGCACCTCAGGATGGTGATGATGATGATGAGCAGATCTATTGATGAGTAAAGGTCCAGTACTGTCAGTACACTACATAAGGTAGGTACGGAGTTCTGTACAATGGAAATGGGAGAAAGGCAATGGAGGAAATCATGGGCCGGGTCCTGACACAAGCTTACTTCTGATTGGGCTTAGCGTCCCCGCATACCTTAACACGGGCACCTGGCTTTGCCGCCTTGGGGGATCCTCCATTAGTCACTTTCCCACGGCCCAGACTTGCCGTAAACTCGCCTGGAGCAATACTTCCTCTGTAGTACGGAGCACCTACAGGCTAGGGGGGCGGATAGACGGAGTCAGGACAGGCACGAGGGGGGGCCACTAGCCAAGGCTTGTGTGCAATGTTGTTGGCTTCCACGGGTTTTACAGTTTGGAGCTTGGGGGCTCGGGTGGATCGAGGCGAGATTAGGAGATTTTAAAAAGGACGGAGAGACACCGCCGTCTGGATGACACCGCGGGCGAAAGACATCACGAGTTCTGTCCTTTGGGTAGACCTAAAATGAGGTAAGCTCAGGAGGCCGCGGCCTACGAGCGGACGACGGACCGGAGAAATCACCGCCGTTTAAGATCCACCACCCGACCTACCTACCTCCTTAAAC